AGATTACGACGACTAATTAACTTTCCAGACTGCATGAGTTTGAACGGAGTTATGGCTTTGGAAAGCGTAAAAACTCGCACTCATCACAAATTTTCCTCGTTAATTTTGCAAAAATCCTCAACGTGGCCATTTTTTAAATACTGGACGTATTAGCAGTTTTAGTAACGTTTGAATAGAGCAAATCTTCTAGTTTATGATGACGTATTAACTTTTCAGATTGGATGAGTTTGAACGGAGTTATGGCTTTGGAAAGCGTAAAAACTCGCACTCATCACGAATTTTCCTCGTTAATTTTGCAAAAATCCTCAACGTGGCCATTTTTTAAATACTGGACGTATTAGCTGCTTTAGCAACCTTTGATAGAGCAAATCTTCTAGTTTATGATGACGTATTAACTTTTCAGATTGGATGAGTTTGAACGGAGTTATGGCTTTGGAAAGCGTAAAAACTCGCACTCATCACGAATTTTCCTCGTTAATTTTGCAAAAATCCTCAACGTGGCCATTTTTTGAATACTGGACGTATGAAGCTGCTTTAGTAACCGTTTGATAGAGAAAATCTTCTAGTTTTGTCTGACATATTAACTTTTCGAATTTGACGAAAATGAAGCAAGTTATGGCTTCGGAAAGTGTAAAAACTCGTGCTCATCATGAATTTTCCTCGTTAATTGATCTAAATTTGTTATTTCTTATAAATTTTTGTAATTTCACTGTTAGAAAGAGCTCTTCACAAAACTCCCAAATCTGCTTTCAGATTGAAAATTCGTCATATTTGAAGAAAGTTATAATCATTTGAATATTTGTTCAAATTTCAATAGTAATAAGCTGCTCCACGGTCAACGCCAAAGATCAGTCAACACACAGCTGGCTAAGGCGGTTACAAGGCTTTTCAACTGAAAGGGGGACGTGTAAATTGAGAACCATAATCTGTGTAGTACTAGAATTTGGTAAGTCTTGTGGAAGGAAATAAATAAAGAAGAGATGTTGTCATAGTATGCCATTTTTAGTGACTAGTTTGTCGTTTTTGCTCCGTTTCTCGTTTGCTCGTTTGGTAGGACTCATCAATAATGATCATTCTTTGACTTTTTCACTTTTGTACTTCTTAAACGAATTTTTGGTGGACGGTGGGGTAGCAGGGCTTTTTATGAACAGTTTTGGGGAGAATTAAACAACCTTTTCATAGTTCGGCTTTTGAAGAGGGTCGTTTCATGGACTTCGGCCTCTGGGGGAGGGAGGGGGGGGGGTCGTATTTCCGAATTTTCCTCGACGGTTCGCTTGACCCTGTCTATGAGTCAGACTGGAGAAAACTGTAGCTCACTAGGAGCGATGTGGTGGCAGGCTGACTATATGTAAAGGGGTAAGAAAAGGGCTGTTTGTGTGAGCTCCTAGATTACCTTTTGCAATGAGTGGCAAGCAATGTAAGTCAAAACATTTCACCTCAATTGTTCTATCCAAGACCTTTGTCTCACTATCCACAGTTCTATCATTACTTTTTATTCGCCATGCTTACGGTAATAAACAGAACGAGAAGGAACAAGCGGAACCAAAAAGTCTTATACACCAGGAAAACTTTAATAGAGTGGAGCATATCTGATTTTTTAAAAACCCTACTGTTTGTACCCTACTATTTATAAGTACTACGATAAAGCTTTTTTATCTGAATTGATCATACCGATGCTGAAAATTTAGTACAATCGAAATCACGAAGTCAGATTAGGCGTGGCTACGGATTTGACGTGGCCGTGGCTAGAAGCACCTTATCCGCGCAACTTTCATCAAGTGCGGCAGCAGCCACGTCAAACCCTTGAACACGCCTAATCTGACTTCGAGATATCGAGTATACAAATGATCGGTGAACGATTGCTGGCTGGCAGCCCATATGGGCTCCATCGTCCTACTAGCACACGCCCCTGCAGACCATGTGGACTACCGCGGGCGCGAATGCGTTAATATTATTGGTCGTATAAGGCAAAATGCGAGCAGTGACTTCAGATTTGAAAGATATCTTTGCGGATCTTATATGTATATGATCACTCCGACCAGTGACTCTGTCCTGGTTAGCTATTTACACTATCAGACAAAGTGCTGTTTCCATGAAGGTATCTGATTAGTCGACTCGAAGGTAAATTCACGGTAAGAATAGAGGTGAAAAAAGAGAACTTACCCAGCGGGGAGACGAGCGGGCCTCTTGAAATGCGGACCAACACGCAATCCGCATCGAATATCCCCCGTAGTCTTGCGCGGTCCTCCCTGGGCAGTTGGCGCGGTACGCGCACCATTTATCTTTTCAATCGCCGCAGGTTAACGCGGCCAGTGATAGATAGTAGACACAAGGTTATTGTCGAAGAGGGCACAACGAAGAAAGCTGCATCAATGAGGAAATCAACGGGCAAGCCTCCTATCCCAATTTGTATATCTGAACGGTCTAACGTCAACCGTGTCCATTTCCTTCAGAAGTAGTGGGGATAATTCCGTCTTCCTCTAACCCATAATACATCATTGTAGTCCTTGTCCAGACCTCTGCTTTGGCTAGCTCTACGAAGAAACATGTTTCTGGATGTTACTACTCAAGGTGTACAGGAACAGGTGATCACCGTATATAAAATCATTTTCTTCTTCCGACCCAACGGAAGCCAAGTGTGCGTTGTTGTTACTGCATATTGCTTCTGCCTCATCCCATGTTGCTTTTTGAACGAACACCTGGAAATTAAATGTTCGATCAGAGAACTGAGCTCAAAAGATGTATAACAGTCATCGCGGCAATGTAAAGTGCACTCACCTTGTACATGCGCTCGTCTCCTCTTCATGCCAAATATACCATCCATCTACGTTCGGTACGGCAGCAAAAATTGGCCTGACCTTCGCACCTTGTTCAGAGACCGATGGCATGAGTTCGCCGGGAAGCTCAGCATTTGAAAAGCAGCACAGATGCATGACAGCGATTACAGCCCAACCAATGGTGTAAAATGTCATTTCACGATGTCTGATTCCTGGGAAGGTTTCATTAATTAATAGAAAGGCAAGTGTAAAATACAGGCATTATTCGAAAAGCGTGCATGTGTAAGCCCCAATTCATGATGGAGAAGACAAAACTGTGGAAGTCTAGCACTCCTAGCAAGACAGCTTTGAATGCCGCACAGCTGAGATGTTCTACAGCAATCCGCTCTGAGAAGTAATGAGCACGTTAGCCAAGAGGTGGGAGTTGCCATCCCCCCTAGCGCGCACTCTACCTCCCAGCAGAGTCAACCCTGCGTTGCGCAGTTCGCAACGGCACGTTGAGAGATCCTCAACGCACGCTGTATGGGCGGAGACACAGACGGCTCGAGCATGCGAGTGTGAATGTTCGCGCGAGAGAACGTGTCTAATCGGGCGAAACTGCGCAACGTGGCCGTTGAGAACTGCGCAACGCAGGGTTGACTCTGCCTCCTGATCGCCAAGCCATTGCGATCACTGCATTTACGGTCATGTTTCTAATTTGATCTGATCTTTTCAGCTGGTTGTATCCCTTACCTTCTCATTCTCTCAATTGATAACCATCTTTGTTCATTTTTGTTCCCCCCCCCCTTTTTCCCCTAACACGCTGTCTCCCAGCATGAATTGCGCCCAAGCCAACATTCATAAATCACGATCCCAAATGCGATTAGACGAGTACAGAAAAAATACATACTAACTACGCGAATAGGCGAGTTGACAATGAAGGCAAGAACCAGTATCAAATTAGTGAGGTAATTACGCTCAAATGTGAAAGTAGGGGTGGAAGTGGACCACCAGTGGAGAAAAAAGGAAAAAATCGTGAAATACACAGGAAATACGAGCCTTTTGCTCTACGCTGCGGAGAAGTTCAAAAGGCCGGCAGGGAGATAATGTGAGCGCGGAGAGCGGTAGAGAAGTCCGAGTAGAGAGAGCATAGCAGATCAACGTTGCGACGCACAAGATATCGAGCGGTGGGCGGAGCATGACCGTGCTGGTGGAGTTTGCCAAAGTTCTTTCCAGGGACGTCGTTCAGGACGTGGTGTGCTTTTTCAAAACGTTTTGTCGCATGCTATAGGGGTGGGTGGAAGGACAGAGGTCTAAACGGCATTCCAGATGGCATCCAGATCCAAGGTTCGATTCCCCACAGGGCAATTTTCCGCATATTGTGTTGGCGTTTCAACATAAGGTCTAGCATCCAAGTAACGATTTCCAACGTAGGGAAGTGACGCATCCTCTGCACTTGCGTACCTGGCGCTTCTAGCCACTAAAGGCTCATTGAGTGGGCTTGCGCCCAAACTTTGCCTTTTAGATGGACGGCGACAGGCCGATCAGATTCCACTTATGCTGCCATGATTGAAGTAAGCAAACCAGCCCTTTTGGCGTTTCTGCTGGGGCCGTATGCTGAATGTTGGGGAGGGGATGGGGTCCCCGACGGTCGACGGACTACTTCAACTCGGTCCTTAAAACCGCCTCAATTTGATGCTTACCTCAGGACTAAGCCTTAAAGAGAGGACGGACCTGCGAGAGAGCGCAGGTCCGTCCTCTCTCCAAGGCTTAGTCCTGGGGTAAGCAAACCAGCCCTTTTGGCGGAGCTGCTGGACCTAGCTGCACCACTTCGTCATCACTCTCCTACCGTACCGACCGAGTTGAAGTAGTCCGTCGACCTCGGGGACCCCATCCCCTCCCCAACATTCAGCATACGGCCCCAGCAGAAACGCCAAAAGGGCTGGTTTGCTTACACCGACCTGACTCGCCCCTCCCACTCAGTCGCCCAGTTGCCTAATCGCTTACTTGGCTATTCGTCCAATCGGCACATTTTCTTATTGTTCTAGCCTAATGTGAGCTGATGAACTGATGTGGCTGACAGGCTCTGAACTCAGGCGTCTTGCGTGGGTCAAGAGCTCAACGTAGCGGAACAAACTCTGACGCCGCGTTTGTAGTTCACCTTTTGGGAGAAAAGAATAGTAGGCGATAGTAGGCGATAAGGCGATCATGTCCCTTGGGTGGAGACTCATTCAAGGCAGGCCGTTGAAAAGTCGTGTACTAAGGTAAAGCCCAGGTGAGAGCACAAACCCAGTGAGGAAAGGAATCGACTCCCGCGTTTTTTCAGAACCCTTTCCCTCCCTAAGGCCCACTCCCAAATAATATAAGTGGCTTACTCCCAGAATGGCCACCACCCCTCTCCCCCAACGACATGAGCGCCGGCGATAGTAGCCTTGTAGGGAATCCCTTCGAAAAGAGTAGATACGTATCGATTGCAAACGCTGCAGAGAAGTTAGAGATTAGTCAACTCCGAGCGAATCGATCAGCACGTAGCCAATCAGTTCGGCGCACCGTTCTACTCGGCTACCATCAATTAATCAATCTCTTACTGTCGT